CCCCCCCAAATCACATGAGCTTAATTTAATGTTTTGATTTCAATGGAAGAGTTAAAAATATTTGCACAAAATGTTATCCTATTTGAAATTAATGATGTTTTCCTAAAGTTCCACTTCAGAAGCTATAAAAAGTGGCCTCACACAATCCTGGCCAACTTGATCTTTCTTGGAGACTCTCATCGGTGTGGATGGATCTCTTTTTGCTGGCTTAGTGGAGACAGAATTGAAATTGTTTTAATGTCTAAAGTCTTTGGACTCAATTCTTAGAGCTCCTGACGTAAGCAGTTAATGATTTTTGGTTATCACCAAGTTCGATGTGATTTTTTTTTTACTCTTTTAAACTGTCACATCCATCAACTCTGGTTTTAATTTTATATGGATATTTTTCATTTACACTATAGCACAGAAAACATTCTGAAAAATATTGGTACCCAAATCTAGCAAATATGTTTTTTTTAATAATTAAAAAGAACATTTCTGTTAGAAGTGTTTTCATTGATGGTGCTCTGTTTTATTTCTTGAGTTTGGTTTTGCAGTTTGACCCCTAGTCTCTTTCCTCATGTTTGTAAGGAATTGAATGTGATATGTCCCAACCTTTGTGGAACTGTGTGCTGTGGGCTTATTTCCAGCTGTTTCCAGAAATGAAATAGAAAACGGGGCAAGAGGTGGTAGGGTGGTAGATTTTCTAAGTTAAATCTTTCTAAGCTCTTTGCCTGGTTTGAATAATATTAATTCCCCTCACACCATCTTTAGGAATTGAAAATCTAACTAACACATTGTAAAGTTTTACAAAGTTATCTCAGAAATAACTTTTAAAAATCTCAACAAGAATATTGTAACAATTTCTGACCAGATTTCATGAGTGTGAAAACTAACTCCTCTATAAGTACTGTTTGTGAATTTCTAGAGTGCTAGTAAATATAATACTCAGACACACTGAAATACATCCAAATCTGAATTCAAATTGTGACACTAAGGAGAAATTTCCTCTTTATAGTCTGCGAGGCCACCACAGTCAGAGACCTTAGTAAAACCTCAGCCAGGCTGGGTGAATTTGGGGACGTTCCGAGTGGTGCAGAAATCTGAATTCTGGGACTGTTTATTCATATCACTAACTAGCACTAGTTAATTGAGTCAAGGTTAGCACAATTGATGTTTCATTTTCATAAGTAAATAGGGTTTTTATGTGGAATTAATAGGTCACAAAATAGCCCAAGCATTTCTGACTTTCCTTGTCCTGTAAATGTGGTGTTTATATGACACTGACGTTCCCAGTGTCCTCTGGGGTAGATGTTCTGCTCTGTCCCGGCCTCTGCTGTGATAAGTTCGGATCCCCTTCTGGGGCTGCAGGCCAGAGGACAAAAGACGGCGACAGGGCAGGGCGTTAGTTCACCGACCGGCTAGTTCATAGGCACTCAGAGAGCAGAAGCGGTGGGGGCGCCAGAGGCAGGGGATGTTTCAGAATGGTGTCCCAAGATGCTTTTTAGAAAAAAAATTAAGCCCGTTTAACACACTTACTGTGTACCAGTACTTGTCCAAGGAACCGGTCAGCTTGGAAGAGGAGAGAGATTAGTAAACACACAACTTTAGTGCGGTTAGTAGGTGTAGTAACCACAGAGCAGGGGCAGGTCATCCTTCCTCCAGCTGGCAGAAGGTCCTTAACCGTGTCCCTTGATCTGGGTTCTGAAGGGTGTTTATCACAGAGAGAAGAGCCAGGAAGGGCGTTTTATGCTGAAAGAAGAGAGTGTGCGCAGGCAGGAGGACAGGCCTGGGGAGAGCATGAGCGCTACAGTGTCTGGAGTTGAAGGTTTGTGCTGGAGCACAGGAGAGGGCTTACGAAGGAAGGCTGAAGGACTTTTTTAAACCATAGATTTGGGCCTTGTTTAGAAAACGGGAAGACGTTGGCAGATTCAAGATGGGCCGTGACCTCTTTTTTAGGAACTGAGTGTGGTGACATTTCAAAAGGTGGGTTGAATAGACTGACAGAGACTGGTGAGGAGGCTGTTTCGGAATAAAGACTTTGATGGCTATAGCTGCCAAGTAGAGAACAGGAGGTCAGGAGGTTATCAGATGGGGACAGGCGGAGCCGAGGACAAGATTTAGGAAACCAAGCATCATGGTTTTCCCGCTGAGTTTGTGGCGCCCGAGGTATTCCTGACACAGATGCCCCAGGTACATCGGCATGTGGACCCGAACCTGCGGAGACAGGTGGGACTTGGAAGGATGGAGCCCTCCGTGTCCTAGTGGGGAGGAGGTGGGTGCCCTGCGGAGTAGCCGCACCCGACCCAGAGGGCCCAGAGCGTCTGCTGATCTGGGGTCAGCAGCGGTGTCCTGCCTCGTTCCATTATACTAGGCTCTCTCCTTTCTCCATTCCCCCCTCTTGCTTTTCTCTAACATACCCGCCTTCATAGACATCCATCCGCTATGTCAGGAACCAGCCAACTTTTTCTGTAAAGAGTCAATGTTTCAGGCTTGCTGGCCACATTCTGCCTTTATTCACATAATTTTTTTTTGACCTTTAGAAATGTAAAAATTGTTTTTTGCTTGAAGGCCAAACACACAGCTGTTGGGCTGCATTTGGCCTATGGGCTATGGTTGGGGGACCCGAGGTGAGGCTCTCTCAGGGATTGATGCCATTAAAACTACTAACTGTTCTTGGAGGGTTTTCACATCAAGAGAAAAGGGGGGGTGGGAACCAGTGAGGTAACTGAACGTGTTTATTGTAGAGTAAATAGTGAGCGCCTCCAGTTCCTTTCTTCCCACAGTGCCTACCCATTTTTATCGGGTTGACCCCTCACCCTTGAGACTGCATCGGCGTCATTTCCTCTTGGAAGGCGTTCCTCGGCCTGGTCTGGGTTTCTGTCCCTTTCTGTGCTCCCCCGCCCGGTGTGTTTCCTGAATCATGACATTGATGGTCACACTCCTCAAAGCGCCTGGTTGAGTTCTGCCTCTCTCCCCAGGTCTGAGCTCCAGTGGCCGGTGCATGTGTTGCTTGCACACCGCGTGGCACAAGGTGGGCTGTGTAGGTCACCAGTAAGTGAAGGAAAAGAGCGGTGAGGAGCGTGAAGGTCAAAGTGGAGGCCCCAGGACCATGAGGCCTGGGTTCAGCTCTGATTTACATGCGTCTGACCTTGGACAAATTACCCAAACTCTCTGTGCCTCAGCTTCCTCTTTGCATCGGGGTGATAGTAGCACCTCTGTCGAGGGCTGTTGTGATCGGCGGAGTTCGCGTGTGTAGAGCACTTGGCGCCTGTGACTTAACCTTGCACTTCAGCTCCTGCCGTTACCGTGCTGGTGGTCACTCCCACCGCCGTGGCAGCGCCTGTGGCTGTAACTGCGGCCACAGGAGAGCGGTACGGAGCGGAGCAGGGAGTTAGTGCATCGACACTGGCAGCAGACTGCTGGGGTTTCAGTTCCAGTTCCCCCCTTTACTAGCTGTGTGGTCCTGAGCAAGTTTCTTACCCTCTCTGCGTCCCAGTTTCCTCTTTGAAAAACTGTGGATATTAGCCGCACCTAACTCAAAGGGTCATTATGGAGAATAAGTGAGAGAGTAAGTGTAAAGCATTTAGAATAGTGGCTGGTTCCTAGTAACGTCCATAAGCGTTAACTAGTAACGAAGTCAGACTTGGGTCTTAGCTATTAATTTTACTCTCCTTTCCCATGTTCACTCGATCCCAGGTACAGTTTATCAGAGCCTCCCGTGTGCCTGACCTGCAAAGTTGCGATGATGGCTTACTCTACCTTGACTCAAAACAATGCAGTGTGATTATAAAAATCCTGGGAAAGTTTCTGGATGCCCCTCGTCGCCAGTGTCATGCCCAAGGGACCGAGTGATTTGGAGTAAACCTCAGCATGCAGTCTGGGCTTTCCAGACATTCTCGGGTGGCCCTGTCCTCCTCACGGACCTCTGCTCGAGAGAGGAGATTATGATTCTGTAAATGCCTGTCCCTCCCGGCATCGCTTGCTCCCTGTCTCCCAACATAAACATGAAAATGCCAGCCCAGCCATGGCGCAGTCCAGAGAGGTGTCGTCACGAGGAAGCAGAGAAACAAGGGTTCTTTAAGTATCCAAGCTGCTGGCATCATAACATCATAAATGCCTCCAGTCTGTTCCTGTGGGGCACACATTGTGATTGAGTTCGTTTTAACTTAAATCCACTTAATATTTTCTGCCCACCATGTTTAAAGGGATTGTAGGAATCACTTTAATGAAATAATGATTTGTTTTACTTTTACGAACTACCTCTCCTTTCCCATGTGAATGAACGTGTAACACCACCCCACAGCCTGCAGATAAAGTTACCATTTTGTTTTTTCATCACCAATAAGTTTGAGAAATAACATGTAAGCCTTAAAACTTACACGTTTAGTTTTTCTCTCTGACAGGGTGGACAGTTTACAGAAGAACCAAGACCTGGAATTTGAAAGAAATCGAGAACGATTCAAGTTTTTGAAGGTACGCGATGCGTTTGGCCCAGAGGCTGGGTCTTTCCGCGTGCGGGTCCGAGGGAGGGGTGCGGGTGCCGGGGAGGTGGGCCGCTTGGGGTGGTCAGCATCCTCAGTGCTCTTTCTGTTCTTCAATCCTAGTGGGGTTCCCAGGCTTTTCGCAACATGCGGATTATTCCCCCTGGCTCGGGAATCATCCACCAGGTGAACCTGGAGTATTTGGCAAGAGTGGTGTTTGATCAGGATGGATATTATTACCCAGACAGCCTCGTAGGCACCGACTCGCACACGACCATGATCGACGGCTTGGGCGTTCTCGGTTGGGGTGAGTGTTCGTCCAGATGCGTTGCACTAAAGCGTGTCCCTTAATTGAGGTTGGTGCCGTTACATCCCAGGAGCACGAATTTGCATGACTCCAAGAGTCAGAGAGGTTTCTTTGTCCGCTTTGTTTGCTGCTGTATTTCCAGTGCCCAGAAAAACGCCTTTGTTTGGCAGAGTGGACTGGAATAAGAGTTAGGGATCTCTAGAGTACGTAAGTGAAGGTCACCTGGGGTGTTTGTTACAAGCGGAGATCCCCAAACCCCAGTCCACTTGGTGTGGAATCAAGGGGGTTTTGATACAAGTGTTTGGGGCCCACACTCGAAGAAACACTCATTAAAAATTCTGTGGCGGGAAATAGAGAAAAGATAATTGCTCCTTTTAGAAACGCAGCTCTGTACTAGTTGAAACTGGGCTTATTACCTGTTAATGATACTGCACTGTGCCTGAGGGATACGGCGAGAATTCACGGAAGCGTTGTTTGTGCTCCCGCCCCTCGCAGGTGTGGGAGGCATCGAGGCCGAGGCTGTCATGCTGGGTCAGCCGATCAGCATGGTGCTGCCCCAGGTGATTGGCTACAGGCTGCTGGGAAACCCCCAGCCTCTGGTCACGTCCACGGACATCGTGCTCACCATTACCAAGGTAACGAAGCCGCCTCTTCTGCGGGCTTGGAGGGAAATCCGTGCTGCAGGCTCTAGGCCTCCGTTTGTTCTGGAAATGCCAGAAAACCATATGATGGTGACTTTAAAATGAGGCAGGATAAGGGAGAAGTATGTGGTTAAGTCTTAGGGAATTATGTTCATTTTACTCTTCTGTTGCTGCATGGACCTTTTTCTTTTAAAATCTTTTTTTTTTATTTTTTTAAATATATCTTTAAAAAGAGAGGGAGAGAGAAACATCAATGATGAGAGAGTCATTGATCGGCTGCAGCCCACAACCCGGGCATGTGCCCTGACCAGGAATCGAACCCTGATCGCCTGGATCCTAGGTCGACGCCTAGCCTCTGAGCCACGCCCGGCCCGGCTAAAGTCTTTTTGAAATTATGAAATAGTTCAAATGCACAGAAGGGAAAGTGACATTCATATGCCTACTACATAGACTTGACAGGTGATAACATTTTGCCATATTAGCTTCAGAGCTCTCTCCGTATATTTTTTTAAGAAATAAAATGTAGTATTTATGGCTTATGCCATCTTCTCCGTCCCTGGAAATAACCACTATCCTGAGGTTGTAAGAATCATTCCCATGCATCTGGTTACACTTTTACTACATCTTCCCCTTAGGTCTTCCTTATATGTAAATAACAACCTTTTTCTATGAATAATATTGGATTTTTTAATTCCCTTCTCTGTACTATAAGTTATATTGTTGTAACGGATGTTTCTCCAAACTGGAAAATACTGTTTTTTCCCTATTTCATTAGCCCTTTTAGGAATTTTTTTTTTTTTTTTAATGTGATTTGCTTGCTTTGCAAAAAGAAGGCAGTTTTATTTTGAAAGATTATTGAAAAAGTAATTTTTTATTATCATAAACATAATTTTTTTCTGGTTGTATAGCTTGGAGGCTTAGGGGATTTGGAATGGACACTATACTGGTAAAGGCCCAAAAAAGTTTCTCTTTGATTGACTCTGTATGGAATTTGGAATTGTTTTTTTTGTTTAACACACTAGCTTAACATAGAGGTCCGTGTGTTTTTCTTCAAATGTGGAATAATATAAGGCTTGTACACAAAATTTGGCAAAATTTCACATAACCAAAAGAGCCTGTCCCTGTGGTTGTCCACAGTTCATGGAACTGGCTTCCTGTAGGGCCAGGTCCTCACTGCGGGCCCAGCCTTGGCCAGGGGCTTGCTTGGAAAAGATACGGGAATCAGACTGTCTGGATCTTTTCTTTACATTTGACTTGTACCTGTGTTTAGGAAATTTGTTCATTGTACCCTTGAAAATAACCATTTACTTAACTCAGCTAGTACAAGTCATCATTTATTTCAGTTTAAAAGAATTTTTTTTTTTTTTATTACTTCTAGGCATTTCCAACGATCTCATTAGAGAAAAAGAATGTTTCTCATTTTTAGAAACTTTTCTTAATGTTGTTATTTGTGTTTATGGCATTACTTGTTTTTTGGGAGAAGTGTTTTGACATAATTTTAGATTTACAGGAGAGTTCATGTAAAGATGGTATCGAAAGTTCCTATTACCTTTCTCCCAGCTTCCCCAAATGTTACCTGGCATAACCACAGTACAGTTATCAAAGTGAAGACTCTGACATTGTGATGAATGACACTATTAGGGATACTAGAAACTTTGCCAGTTTTGTGACTAACGTCCCTTTTCTGTTTCAGTATCCAGTCCAGGATACTATGTTATATTTAGTTGTCATTAGTTTTTAAGTTTTATTTTTTAAAGTAATCAAAAATATATTGAGGTTACTTACTGTTTCTGTTTACTTACAAGGTTAGTTTATAAGACTTACAAGGTGATAGGTGATAGTTCTGCATTTTAGATATGGTCTGTCAACTCTGAAACCTTTCTGTTCTGCCACTCAGCACCTCCGCCAGGTTGGGGTAGTGGGCAAATTTGTCGAGTTCTTCGGGCCAGGAGTAGCCCAGTTGTCCATTGCTGACCGAGCTACAATTGCCAACATGTGTCCAGAGTATGGAGCAACTGCTGCCTTTTTCCCAGTTGACGAAGTTAGTATCAAGTACCTGGTGCAGACAGGTAAGTGTAACACCGTGAAAAGCAGGGGCCCTTTGTAAAGTTTCATGGAGCCCTGAGAACCAGAGCACCGCCTCTGCCACTGGCCCCTGCGGTCAGATTTACAGATGTGTCCTTCTCTTTGTGGAGTCAGAAGAATTGTTGGGATTTCAGAAGACGTGAGGTAGACAGGGTATGGCCAGGAGCAAGAGCTCAGGTACTCTAGAAGCACAGACGGTTGCCCTGCTCTTCTACTCCTCGGTATTTGACATGAAACAAGTGATCTTAGTAATGATGATGGCTGTCTGCCCCGTGCCAGGCACTCGTATGCGTTTGCTCTCATCTTTATAGATGGATAGGGTAGATTGATTGATTAATTAACTAATAGGGAAGAAAACCAAGGATTAGAGAGGTGGGGTAAATACCCAGAGCTAATGAATATTGGAGCTAGAATCCAAACATGAAGCTGCCAGGCTCCTAACAGGGACACCACTCCATGACATCCCTCTTAGGGCTGGCTGTCCAACAGGTGAAGTGAAAGACCGAGTCTGAAGCCATTTCTGAATGTCAGTGGTTCTTTAATAATTATAGGATAGTGGAGAAGAAAGCATGGGTGTGGTTGGCTAGCCTGAGGTGGTATTTTATACACAGAACATCAGCAAAGGGCTCTTGGAAGTGAAGCTTGAACCGTGTTGGAGTAAAGTTGGGGACACGCTGTGGGAAGTAGGGGAGGAGGAACTTTCCAGGCAGAGGATCCACACCTGCAAAGGCCCAAGACAGACAGGCTTGGGTGTTCAGGGGCCCACAGAGGGACCTGTGTCGCTCGAGTCCAGGGTTGAGGCCATGGAAGGTGAGGTCGGGGTGGACAGGCAGGGGCCAGATCCTCACAGTCTCGTGGGCCACATGATCAGTTAGGATTTTATTCTAAATGTTCTAGGAAGCCACTGGGTTATATTGAGCAAGAAGGTAACATGAAATAATTTTATTTTTACTACCTCATTCTATGTGACAAAGATGGAGGAGACCTTTCATTTCCCATCTGACTCTTAAAATCACAACTGGGTTATTAAGGAGAAAGGAACACGCTTCAGCCTTCTCATTGTATCCCGTGTTTACTACAGGTGTCTATTGCAGTAGGAGCAATGGGCATTCAAAGTAGGAGCTAGGTGAGTCTCATAAGAATCGTACAGACTCCTAGTGACTCTGAGTCTTCTCCCTGGCTTTCCTGAGGAGACGCCTCCTCGTGGAGTAGTTAAGGTTATAATGCAAAAGCTTATTTTTTAAAAAGTGTTTATTAAATACAACCACATTGAAATCGATGAATGATACTTCCCTGACCTCCAAAGGATTTGAAGTGAAAAAGATACATAAGTGAAAGAACAGAGTGTCAGCCTAAAAAGGCAAGATGGGAGGGAAAGGGAGGAAAGCTGCAAAATACATCAAGAGCTAGGATTCATTTCTGTGGCTCTAGAGGTAGCCGCTGGGCTTAACAATCTGTCACCAAATTTGAAGCCTCTGTTAAATTGAAACAAGCATGTCCCTTCAGAGAAGTGGAACTCGTTCTCGTTCCTAAGTAAGACATTTCGCCTGTGCATCTCTATGAAGGGACCTCATGGGATGTAATGAGCAGTGGGCCCAACAACAGGCCATGACACATACATTAATGCTCAGACAGTCAGCTTTTGTGAGGCTCATGCTGAAAGCTGATACCTTTGCAATTCAGTTCAAAGAAACAGGCAAATAAAAAATGCTGATCTGTTGTGGGCCCAAGAACCGAGCTTTCAAACAGCCTTATTCAGCTGTCAGAGAAATGGTGGACTGCATGTCCTTCGTGAAGACTTCGCGAGCATTATCTCCTACAGCCAGGGTCTTGTGATTCAGTGCAGAGCGTCCAGGTCACGTCCCTGGTGGTTCAGCATCATGAGTTAAGACTTTGGACTTTGAGTCAAACTCAGGTTTGGATCCAGGCTCTGTCATTTACTGGCTATAAAAGGTACTTAATCCTCTTGAGCCACCGTTTCCTCATCTGTGGATGAGTGTAATAACAGTAGTTGTCTCCTAAGGTCATGATAGAGGATTAGAGATTGAGATAACACATTCAAAACCCTCAGCACACAGTGCAGGGCACACAGGAGGTGCTCACGGCTGGTGACTTGTGGTGGGAGTCGAGGGGGATTATTACTTTAGCCATAATAGTGTGCAATGCTGAGTCTGGCCAGTTGAAGGCAGAGGCCGAGGTGTGCAGAGGCCTAGGATCTTCCTAATTGCAGAACATAATAAAGAGAGGGGGGAGTGCTTATAGGTAAGGGTAGACTCCCATCGTCTCTTTCTTGGGAACAACAGGTCAGTTAATGGCCCCTAGTGAACAGCAGATCAGCTGGAGTCAGACCGTTAGCCTGAGCACTGTGGTATCAGCAGAGCCACTGTGTGTAAGTGAAATGGGTGTCACTTGTATAATTGCTGCTAGAGACNACAGGTCAGTTAATGGCCCCTAGTGAACAGCAGATCAGCTGGAGTCAGACTGTTAGCCTGAGCACTGTGGTATCAGCAGAGCCACTGTGTGTGTAAGTGAAATGGGTGTCACTTGTATAATTGCTGGTAGAGATNATAATTGCTGCTAGAGACAGTAGCTCATAGTCTTTAACCAGGAAAAATTAACATCTATTGCTTGTTACCTCTTAAAATGCTCATTTAGGCCGCAATGAAGAAAAAGTTAAGTACATTAAGAAGTATCTGCAGGCTGTAGGAATGTTTCGGGATTTCAGCGACTCCTCCCAGGACCCCGATTTTGCCCAGGTACGAGCGCCTTCACTGAGCATGTTTCCTCTTCCTGAAGGCGTGATTTTAATACTGCATCGTTTTTTCTAGGCGACGGGGGAGGGGTGCTTGCAGAAAATTAGTCATTGCCAAGTCATCGCAGGGGAACGGGGTGTTCAAAGGCCAAAGCATCCAAAACCGTAAACATAACAAAACAGTGCAACTTCTTCCATTCCTCCTGGCCATTACGTTGGGTTGGGCGTGCTCCCCTTTCTGAACAACTGGTTTGCTCTTCTTATATAGACGAGCTTGGAAGGGCTTCACTAGAAGGACTAGAGCTGTTTAAAGGCTGAGCTCATTCATCATTATTAAAGATGGGGAGGGGAGAGACATGGAGGTGCGAACATAGCAGTTAGTTCTGGTTTATCCAATGACTAAGCCGTCATTCATTTTCTGGGGTGCTGGCCGAACCCCCGTGTTTCTCAGCAGCCAGGATCAGAGGGCGCCCTGGCTGTGGGGCCCTGGTTCTCTTTGACAGTACACTGAGGGAAGGAAGTGCTCCATTAGGCTGAGGCCACTTCCTGGCATTGATGACTTACTGGCTTCATCCCTCCCAACCGTCTTAGAACAAGTACAGTGGGTCCTGTGTCATTTCAATAGAAAACCCATCCCAGACCAACTTAAAATAAAAAGTACATAGGAGCTGCTTTTCAAAGGTGGGCGAGTGGAAGATGCTGGGCAGCAGCTGCAGTCCCCACCCTGGTCTTTCTGCGAGTGGCAAGGTTGCCTGCTGTCCAGTGCCACCTAAGTGACCTTCTTCATCTTTGGAAATCTATCCCTTAAGAGTTAAAGTGAACATTGACCTCCTTGGTTTTGGATGTAGTGGCTTAGCTTGTTTTTATTGTTGTGGTGTGTTAAGTTCTCAGGCAGGGCTTATGTTTTTTCTTTGTGGGTATGACATCAGTTCCACATTTCCTTTTCTTCTTGGGGACAGGTGGTGGAATTAGATTTAAAAACAGTAGTGCCTTGCTGCAGTGGACCCAAAAGGCCTCAGGACAAAGTCGCCGTGTCCGACATGAAAAAGGACTTTGAGAGCTGCCTTGGAGCCAAGGTAAGTGCCTGGGAGGGCAGGTGGAAATGCTCCCGAACCCTGGCCTCCAGTTCTTGGTGCTCGCGTCTGTTTACCCCACTCAGTGATGACTTCCTAAGCCTGCCAGTGAGGGGTGCCTCCTCCATCCCGAAGTCCTTAACGCCTCCCCCATTAGCCAGGCACCAAACAGCTTCCTAAGAGAACCTGACTATTTATAAATGTAATGAGCCCACCCTTTAAAAGCATGTCAACTTTTCACACTCTCTCACATCAGAAGTATATTCTGTTCATTCCATCCCCTGCCTGCCTGTCCTGTCTGCATGTCCCGGCTCCTCCACAGGGTGTCCTCGGATCTCGGGGAGAAGAGTCATCTCCTTCTTTCACCTTCCTGGCACTTGATTAGTTGAATCTGACCAAAACGGCACCGTTTTCTAATTTCCATGTGGTAGAATCAGTGACCTCAGTCCATGTTCATTAAACTCTAATAATGTCATTGAGTTCTACTGAGGCTAACTTTGAACTAAATTTGTAGTTTTAGCATTTCCAGTTTTCAGGTAGAAAGGAAGTAATTGTTTATTTCAAAGCAAGAGTCAGATTCAGAATTATGACTGCCGTTTGTAAAGATTTTTAAAGACTAAAGAAAGCTAATTTTTCTGTAGCATTTCAGAGTTTATTGGCTAAGATATCTATGTTTTGTTGAGAATTGGCCTTTAAAATTATAGTTTCCAAAGTATTTCTTCTTTTAAAGGGAGAACTTTTGAAAAAATATATATATATATTTTTGTTCTTCCTATAGCAAGGATTTAAAGGATTCCAGGTTGCTCCAGACCACCATGACGACCATCAGACGTTTGTCTATAATAATAGCGAGTTCACCCTTGCTCACGGTTCTGTGGTCATCGCCGCCATTACTAGCTGCACAAACACCAGTAATCCGTCTGTGATGTTAGGAGCAGGTAAGTGCATTTGAAACCTTCCTCATGGCCGTGTGGACATGCGCGTGGCAATCTCCCAAGACGTGACCCAGGGGCTTAGCATGAACCTTGTCTTTTCCAGATGTAGGAATTTATTGGCCCAGAAATGTTTACACAGTTAATAGTGTCCAAAGCAAACTATTTAAAGTAGAACACATAATGCATAATCGCCTTTAGAATTAACACAGAAAATAAGCAGAAGAAAGCAAAAAAAGATGAATTTCTGGTAAAACCCAGAACCTTGTCAGACTTTAGAAGGAAAAAAACCTGTTTTCTCATTGCAGACTGTTCTCTGTACAACCCCTGGTGGGCTTTCTGGTCAGTGGAATTCAGTGTGTCTTATAGTTAGTGTCACAGGCACCTGAGTTAGGCACAGGCGCTGGTGGATGAAACCCACCTGCCTTTTATGCAATTATGGTTGAGAAGTTAATGTTTACATACAGAGTTTCGTCACTACAATGTCTCTTTAGTTTCCACATTTTTGAGCATCCCCTACAGTCCCTCTTATGTCCTTAGATCATGGAGTTACAACAGCCCTCTCCTTACGAAATGGACAGTGCATAGGAAAACCAAGTCCAAGAAATCGGCTGTTGCCAGCTAAGCTATTTTTGGTGCAAACCAGTTTCCTTAAGACAAGTCACCAGCACGTCTGTAGCTTTTGGTGTCTTCACTCACCCCCCCACTCATTTCTCTTCTACCTCTGGGATACATCCTAAGACAGAGCACCCAGTGTCCTGCAACTTGTATTTGTGAAGGTCCAGTGGCCCAGGAGCTGTTGATCTCCCACTTTAAGAACTATCTGAGAACTAGATTTTTACACTTCAACTGACTGTGTTCCTCACCGGCCAGTACACGATTCAGATACTTTAAGAAAGGACCATTCCAATTAGAATTTTCATCCAAATAAAACACAATTAGAAAGATTGCTTTCTCTCCCCAAATTAAAAACTCATTCTATAATATATTCCTAAATGGTTTATTCCTTAAAACACATGCATACACACACACATACACACATCTCTCTCTTCATTTTCCTGGCTGATTGTGAGTTTACTGTCTGTGTGAATGTCCTTGGGCCATGAGCTTTGGATTTCTGTTTGGCAGCAGAAATAGCGGGAAGTGCCCATATGAACGGAGCTTTGTCCGGCGGGGGCAGGAAGTGCAGACTGAAGAGCCAGTGCCTTTCTGAACTGCCCCTGGCACCTAGAGCAGGCGGCCACCCACACCGTGTCTGCGTTTATCGTTTCACAGGCTTGTTAGCAAAGAAGGCAGTGAACGCCGGCCTGACCGTGAAGCCTTACATCAAAACAAGCCTGTCTCCCGGGAGTGGCGTGGTCACCTACTACCTGCGAGAGAGCGGAGTCATGCCGTACCTGTCGCAGCTTGGGTGAGGGATTTTCTTGTCCACCCTTGCCTTTGTTGTGTAATCTTCCCCGTGTATCTTGCTATGTCCCCTGTAACAAATGTAAGCTTATCTGATGGTACCTAATTACTTAGTTTCATCAGATGGTGAGTGGACTTCATCCTTACCTTCCAGCAGAGTAGGGCCCTCCTGTAGACAGTTGCACAGGTTCATCGTACAAGGGCGCCCGTGAAGGCAGAGCAGGGGACGGGACCCAGCCTGTGCGTTGGTGGGGTGCTGCACCTTCTCTCTGCGATGGGCCAGCATTGGCTCTGCTCTAAAAGGCTGCCCTTTGGTATGAAAAGCAGTATTTATCATGGCTAAAAGTGTTCTCATTCCTTCAGGTGAATTAGTTCTTTGTTGCCAGATACAGTTTCTCCAACTTCCCCATTCATAATTTGGATGGCAGATTTTTTTCATGAGCATCATAAAAGTCAGAATCCTTGGGATTATATAATAAACGTAGTAAATAGAGACAGTAAATGGCATATCTAGTTTCAACTTTTAAAAATTCTAGATTATTCACTTAGACTTATTTTTATAATTTACTCAAAAAGGAGCCTGATGGAGTGATCTAGAATGGATGAATAATATATCGAAATGTTCCTGGGAATGAAAACTCTATAGGATCTGCACTGCACTGCACTTGCTCCTTGCACGACTCTTCTCTTTAACTCGGTGGTCCCTGGGAACTGGTCCAGCAGGGGGCTCACTGAGAATACTGTCCTGTGTTTTCTTGGCCCCCAGGTTTGATGTTGTGGGCTATGGGTGCATGACCTGCATTGGCAACAGCGGGCCCTTGCCTGAACCTGTGGTAGAAGCCATCACGAAGGTAATTCCAGGCACCTGTGGGTCTTCAGAGCCGTTATCTCTTGTCATAGGATGTGTGACCAAAATGCTGGTAATCTCAAGAAGATTCAGGGAAGCAGGGGATGTGGTTAGATGTATGGTCCTTGCAGTCAAGCTAAACTTACTAGTTAGATAGCCTTGAGCAAGGTAATGAACCTCCTTTACCTGAGTGTTCACCCTGTAAGTTGGAGATGATCATAGTGCCTGTGTCATAGACTGTGAGCACTGAGATGGGAATGCACACCAAAGGTTTAGTGTGGCGCCTGGACACAGGTGCTCAGTAAATGTAAGTTTTTACCCCAGAGGGCTCCAGATTTGTTTGTTCCTCATAATCTGAAAACTGGTTACAAGTCCGGGAAGTCTTCACTCACATGGATCTAAACTGAATTGTGTTGGCATGGTTTTTGTCCCATAAATTCTGTAGCGTTGGCAAATACTATTAGGTTTGCTTTGCATGAACTGCAGAATCCATGTAAGTCTGCGTGGCTTCCTCTAGCTTTCAACGTTTAGTCATTCCCACCTGCTCTTAGGCCCCAGGCAGCAAAAAAACTAGAACGTTGCCTTCTGACCTACCTGGTATTTTCTCATGAGCAGAAACCAGTGAACATGCCTCTCTGAGTCTTCTGTCCCAGAGTGTCTTCCACAGGGACACCCCTGTGTGCTCTCCTATAGAGGAGAGGACCCGTGACAGGGAAGCTTAAAGAGCTACATCCAGGTGATGGGAAAACTTTGGCAAATGGCCTGAAACAAGCAGCCTGGGCAGTCTCTCTTCCTGGTGACCTGATTTTCCTCTCGCCTTATGCAGGGAGACCTTGTAGCTGTTGGAGTACTATCTGGAAACAGGAATTTTGAAGGCCGAGTCCACCCCAACACCCGGGCCAACTACTTAGCCTCTCCACCCTTAGTAATAGCTTATGCGATTGCCGGGACCATCAAGATCGACTTTGAGAAAGAGCCGTTGGGTAAGAGTTTGTTTATGTGGTTATAGGTTTTTTCCAGTGAATTTGAAACTATTATTGGAAGAGAAACCGTGCTTTTTCCTTAATAAATAATGAAGCCTAGGACTTCCAGAGGTAAGACGAGAAGGAGAGGAGTCTTTCCTTTATTCCCTAATACACAGCTAAGACACACTGAAATAATAAGAGTTTACTAAAGGGCAGGGAATGACAAGAAAGAAAGAAATACAGAAAGTAATAGAGAGCGTGCTCTTCTGGCTGCTTCTCCAGCCCTTTTCCTGCCTCCTGTTTGAATCTCATGATAGGCATTGCTTTCATATGTCCTCGGGGGAGCACATTCAGATAGTTTAACCTCTCAAAATCCAGAGGAAATGAGGCTTTGTCTCCTTTCCTCTGGTTTTCTTGCCTCCTATCCCCTCCTCAATCCATCCTAAGCAAATTAGATTATATGAAAACAACGCCCATTCCGTTTATCTATAGGAAATAATAACTTCAGAGGTACCGGTGATCTTCATTGCATGTGGATTCTATATTTGCAGATTTGCCTGTTCACTAAAATGTATTTTAACCCCACAGTCAGTGCTCACCACGCTCCCGCGGTCATGCACAGGCGCACGCAGCGGGAAAGCTTGGAGTCCCTGGGCGTGCCCTTCCCGGGGGGAGTCAGGGCAGCCCTCTGCCTTCTATTTTAGCTGTCGTGCTGGAAATAGTGTCCTGTTCTGGTCCACTCACGCTGTGCTGTTTGCATTTTTGTGCTTTATTTATTTTTGTTTTGGTGATGTCACTGTTTCAGAGGGCCCCCAAGTATAGTGCTAAGTGCTTTCTGGTGTCCCTAAGCCCAGGAAGCCTGTGATGTGTGTCCTGTTGAGGAGCCTTCATCAAGTAGGAGTCTGTGCTGTCGGCAGTGAGTTCAGTGTTCATTCATCAACAACATATATTAACTGAGGTGTCTATAAACAGAAACACACATAAAGCAAGGTTATATGGTGATCGGTTGTGGCCAGAGGCTCTCAGACACCCGACCTGTGTTTCCTCGGGCAGTGGTTCGGGATTCACTGCCGCAGTGCAGCACTGCCGTGAGAGGACATTAACTCTCGCGAAGAACGAGACACAAGTGTGTGTAATAAAGAAAAGGGCTGTTAAATGAAGTTTTTCTCATTAACACACATTTTTTTCCCCAGGGGTAAATGCGAAGGGACAACAGGTATTTCTGAAGGATATTTGGCCAACTAGAGAGGAGATCCAGGCGGTGGAGCGTCAGTACGTCATCCCCGGGATGTTCAAGGAGGTCTACCAGAAAATAGAGGTGCGGTCCCGCCCCCTGCCCCC